CACCTAGAAAAACAGCCAGACCCACCTCCCTGCCTGCTGTGACTGCAGCCCACCTCCTCTGCCTGGCCATGGGTTTTCTGGGAATGCACAGCCCATGGCTTCCTGACCTGCCTTCACCTCTCAGCTGTGCCCCTACCCTAGCCCGTGCTGTGGGGGAAGGAAGGGGTGAGCTGGCTCCTCTCAGCACTTCCCACAGCCTCGCTTGTGATCTGCCCACGCTGCCCCAGGATGGGTTTGGAGCTGCTCCCCGTGATGCTCTCCCTCCTCCTGCAGGGGCAGCGTTCGCTACCAGGGAGACTTCCAGGAGATCTCTGCCCAGCCCGGCTCCTCTCGCCATGGTCAGTCCCAGCTGAGGAACGTGGCCTCTTCTGGTGAGTTTGCAGCTCTGGTCTGGAGGGAGGGTCCTACACAGCGGGGTGGGGGCAGCTGTTGTCCTGGGCAGTGTGAGGGTTCCCCATAACTGGGTGTTGTCCCTTCCCTGCAGTGGCTTGGGGCAGGCAACTTCCCCAGTCCCCTGCCAGTGAGCAGCCCTTGTCATGTCCATCACCTTCCTCCTTCCAGGTGCCATCAAGAAGCACCAGAAGAGCCTGTCTGCATGGTTCAGCCACCAGCCCAATGAGGAGAGGCAGTTTGGCCCTTCCTTCTCGCTGGATGCCGTCCACGTGGACCCAGTGATCCGGGAGAGCTCCCTGGAGGAGATTCTGAAGCCCTCCCCTGATTTAACCATCCAGAACCAGCTCCAGCAGCCCTGTAGAAAGGTTATCAGCCTCAACAACCTCTTTGACGTGGACGCCTGTGGGCGGCAGGTGAAGAATGTGGTGCTCTATGGCACGGTGGGCACGGGCAAGAGCACCCTCATCAAGAAGATGGTGGTGGACTGGTGCCACGGCCGCCTGCCCCACTTCGAGCTGGTCATCCCCTTCTCCTGCGAGGACCTGTCCCACAGCCACGCCCACGTGTCCCTGCGGCGCCTCATCACCAAGAAGTACCAGCACCTCCGGGACGTGGTGCCGGTGCTGGAAGCTTCCAACCTCAGGGTGCTCTTCATCCTCAACGGCCTGGAGCGCCTCAACCTGGACTTCCGCCTGGCTGGCACGGAGCTGTGCTGTGACCCCAACGAGCCCGTGCCACCCTCTGCCATCGTGGTCAACCTGCTGCGGAAATACCTCCTGCCCGAGGTCGGTGGTGCCCTCCTTTGTGCCGGGAAAAGGTTGGGGGTGAGCCCTGAGGCAGCACAGGGCTGTTGTGATAATTATTTACAGTCCAGCTTGGCTGGCAACCTCTGTTCCTGGAGGGACTTGCCAAGGTGGACTCATGTCACTGGTGGGCTCTTTGGGGAGGCCTGGTAAGGTAATGAAGGCTGAGATCTTCCAGCCTTTATATATGTCTAGGAGGGAATGGGGAAAGTTCTTCTGTCCCCTCTGCCTGGGCCAGGTTTCATCCAGCACCCTTTGTGCAGCAGTTTTGTGACCCCCCCACCTGTGGACGGGCTGATCCTTGTGCACCTCTCAGTGGGTTATGCCCTGCTGAGCAGCCCCAAACTCATCCATCCCTGTGTCGCCAGGCCAGCATCATCGTCACCACGCGCCCTTCGGCCGTGCGCCGCATCCCCGGCAAGTACGTGGGCCGCTACGCCGAGATCTGCGGCTTCTCCGACACCAACCTGCAGAAGCTCTACTTCCAGATGCGCCTCAGCCAGCCGGGCTGCTCCGGAGAGGAGAGCCAGCACCGCAGCTCGGCGGAGCAGGAGAACCTGGTGGAGATGTTGTCGAGGAACTTGGAGCGCCACAACCAAATAACGGCTGCCTGCTTCTTGCCCTCCTACTGCTGGCTGGTGTGCACCACCCTGCACTTCCTCTACTTCACCAGGACGGTTCCTCCCAGCCAGACCCTGACTGGCATCTACACCAGCTTCCTGCGGCTCAACTTCAGCGGGGAGGTGCTGGACAGCACCGACCCCACCCACATCTCCATGATGAAGTACGCGGCCAAGACAGTGGGCAAGCTGGCCTACGAGGGGGTGATGTCCCGCAAGACCTGCTTCTCAGAGGAGGACCTGCGGCAGTGCTTCGAGGTGGAGATGAAGACCGAGAGCGAGCTCAACCTCCTGGAGGTTTTCCGCAGCGACGTCTTCCGCTTCTTCCTCAGCCCGTGCGTGCAGCCGGGCAAGGAGCACACCTTTGTCTTCACCATCCCCGCCATGCAGGAGTACCTGGCAGCCCTGTACGTGGTGCTGGGCGAGAAGAAGACCCTGGCCCAAAGAGTGGGGAAGGAGCTGTCAGAGGTCATTGGGAAGGTGAGTGAAGATGTGGCTGTGGTTCTGAACATCATCTCCAAGGTGCTGCCCCTGCGCTTCCTCCCCGTGCTCTTCAACCTGCTCAAGATCTTCCCTCGCTACTTCTCCCGGGTGAGCGGCAAGGACAAGGATGCCATTGCCCACACCATGGCAGAGGAGCTGTTCAAAGAGGAGGACTACTACAACGACGATGTCTTGGACCAGATCAACTCCAGCATCCTGGGCGTGGAAGGCCCCATGCGCCACCCCGACGAGGCCCCGGATGATGAGGTCTTTGAGCTCTTCCCCATTTTCATGGGCGGAATCCTGTCCCGCCGCAACCGCGCCATCCTGGAGCAGCTGGGCTGCTCCATCAAGAACCTGGCAGCCTTTGAGATCGCCAAGGCCATGAAGAAGACGGTGATCAGGAAGGGCCGCAAGGGCCTGCCCCCCTCCGAGCTCATGGACTACCTGTTCTTCCTGCACGAGTTCCAGAACGAGCGCTTCGCGGCCGAGGCCGTCCGCTCCCTCCGCGCTGTCAACCTCTCCTCCGTCAAGATGACCCCTCTCAAGTGCTCTGTGCTGGCATCTGTCATGAGCACCACGTGTCACGAGGTGGAGGAGCTGAACCTGACCTCCTGCAACCTGGACAGCGGCAGCTTGAGGACCCTCTTCCCTGTCCTGCTGCGATGCAAAGCTCTCCAGTGAGTACCACCTCCTCCTGCCCCTGGGCACTGCTCAGAAATTGGGTTCTTTCTCACCTCTGCCCATCACGGGGATGCTTTAGGAGGCCAGGTATGGAAAATTTAAGAAAGGGCATATTTATCCTGAGTGCAGACTTAGAGAACTACAGCTTCCAAAATGCAACGCTCCTGGAGCAGCCTTTCTAGGGCACTGCATGCTGGGATTTGCAGTCCCAGCTCACCCTCCCGCAGGAATTTTTGGGAAGTTCCCTGTAGCTGGTACAGGCTGGGCGGGCTGCCAGCTGTCCTGGCAGACCCGAGTCCCTACGGGAAGTTACCCGGCATCCCCGTGTCGTTCTCTCTGTGAGGAATTTGCTGTCCCAAAGGTGGGAGTCTGGGCTGTGCAGATGTTCCCACAGACGTTCCAGAACGTTTGTGGAGCTGCAGGTCTTCCTGCCGCCCAGGTGGTGGCGAGACGTGCTCAGCACAGATGGATCGGGCTGTGCAGCTGGGCTGTGCCGCACTTCCTTCCTCCAGATGCTCAGGAGGGCTTGATGGAGCCCTGATCCCTCCTCTGACCTTCACCCACCCCCTGAAGACTCCGCCATCCCCTTCCCCTTGCCGTGCTCTTGCTGGCACTGGCTCTGCTGGCTCATGCTCCGGTGCGGTGTCACTGTGCTCCCTTTGGGAGAGGAAACCTGGAGTGGCCTAGTTTGGGGAGCCCAGGGAGGATGGTGATGGGCAAAATGGAGCGGGCAGGGCTGCCAGGCTCACAGGTAACAGCCATTTTGTTCCTGTCACCCCCGTGTCTTGCTCTTGCACCAGTCTGCAGCTCAACAGCCTGGGCTCCGACGCCTGCAAGGAAATTCGTGACCTGCTCCTGCATGACAAGTGTGTGGTGAGCAGCCTGCGGTGAGTACGGCCCCCGCCCCTGCATGACCCTGCCACTGCTGCCCACCACGTGCCCCGGCACTCCCTGAGCTCCCGTGTCCACAGGCTGGCCAATAACCCTGTGGGCGAGCAGGGCGCTCGCTACCTGGCCGAGGCGCTGGCCGGCAACCGCTCGCTGACCCAGCTGTCCCTGCTGCACACCGCGCTGGGGGACCCCGGCGCCGAGGCCATCGCCCAGCACCTGGCCCAGAACCAGCACCTGCAGGAGCTCAACCTGGGCTACAACTCCCTGACGGACACGGCGGCCCTGCGCGTGGTGGAGGTGGCCAAAAGGCACGAGACGCTGGACAAAGTGCAGTGAGTCCACTCCGGCACATCCCTGCCTTTTGCCCACGCGGTGTCCCTTGTCCTGTCTGCCTCTGTCCTTCCCCTCAGCCCTCACCAGTGTCTCCTGCTGCTTTCCCAGTCTCTATTTCAACGACATCAGTGAGGATGGCAAGAGGGCACTCGACAGCCTGCGCATGGACCGGGACGGCGTCAGGGCTCTGGTTTTCCTCACGGCGGGCACCGACGTCTCCGATTACTGGTCCCACATCCTGAACGTGGTGCAGAGGAACCTGCCCTTCTGGGACCGAGAGCGGGTCCGGCAGCACCTCGCCCTCCTCCTGCAGGACCTGGAGAGCAGCCGCAGCCAGACTGCCAACCCCTGGAGGAAAGCCAAATTCCTGCGAGTCGAGAGCGAGGTCAAGAAAATGCTGGGGAAACTGCAGGATGGGAGCCTCTAACCTGCTGCCCATCCACCAGCCAGGGCTGGGCAGTGGAGTGTGTGCCTGCCTGGAGATGCTGGGTGGATGGTGCTGGGTGTTTGGGGCTCAGCCTCGTCTGCAGGGGAGGCTGAAGTGTGGGAATGGGACAGAAACCAGGCCAGGAGCAAATGGGACTTGTTCTGGGCTTGTGGAAAGCCAGCCCCTGCACCCTGGCCAGAGCAGTGGCAGGGAGCAGGATTCAGGCTTGTCTGTGAATCTTTTGGGAGCATTAAAGTGCACCTCTTTCTTTCCACTGAAGCACACTAGTACCAAGACTTGATCTCCTTTTCGGGCCCTTCCTGGGGAGGAACGTGGAGCCGCCCCTCCAGCAGCTGGAGCGGAGGGTTCTGCCTTTCCCTGGCTCACTGCGCTGGCATGGAGCAGCCCACCTCTGCTCCAGTGCTGACCCAGTCATTCTCCTCTCCCTGTGTCCCCCGGGAAGCCACCAGGAGCTGTCCCCAAGCTGGGTGTCCCGGGGTGCTGGCCCTGCTCCCAGCTCCGACTGGCAGTGCCCTGGGGCTGGGAGGGCAGGGAAGACTCAGGGCTGTTTAACCATTAAACCTGGGGCGTCTTGCAAGAGGCGGGGACACCTCCCTGCCACTTCACCCTGTACCTTGCTCCCTCTGGCAATCCCTGCAGCCATGAAGCAAACAAAAGGTATGTGCCGGGGAATCCCCTGGAGACCCTTCCCCACACACACAGACCCTGCTGCCAGATGGAGCAAGACAATGTCAGAGCCCAGGCAGCCTGTGGAAAGGAGCCAGAGGCATGCAGGAAAATGTCTCCTCATGAGGATGGTGGGGAGGAATCCCCTCTCCCTGGGTTTGGGGTTTCCTGTTCCCAATGAGGTGTGGAGGGGTTTTATGGGGGGTTTGTACCAGGGAAAGTCTCTATTCCCTTCTCCTGGCTCCAGCAGCTCTCTGAGGTCCTAGTGAACCTTCTCAGCCCTCACCGAAGAGCCCTGTAAGCCCCCAGGACTGTGCCCCATCTGCTTGGCCCTGCTTTGCCCCAGGAGTGAATGCCCATGGGACCTGAGCAGCAGGTCTCGCTGTTGGGAATGCAGGACAGTGGTGACAGGGCCAAGGAACAATCTGTGCTGAGAGACAGAGGGGCTTGGGGGCTATGTGGGCTTGGCAAACCCCCTCACCTGGCATGGCAGGCTCAGCCTGTGAGTGGACAAGCCCTGAGTGCTAGAGAGCGTTGGGGTCTGCTCCCAGCCCACCACCTCCTGTGCTGACCTCTCCTCTCCCTCTGCAGGGCTCGAGGGAGACAAGATGTCCATCATGTAAGTGCTGATCTCCCCTTGGCCAGGGGCTTTCTGGGGCTCAGGAGAAGTGTGGAGAATGGTCCAAGACAGAGATCCCCTCTGGCTTTTCCAGGCTCCACCTGGCCCTTTCTGGGAGGAACAAGCTCCCCAAGGCTGGAGGAGGCAGGGGTAAGGCCATCCTGCACTAACGTGGCCTCTCCTGCCCTTTGTCATTTCAGAAAATTTGAGTTTAACCCCAAAGTTGGGATTGACAACCCTGCCTTGACACTGACTGAGGACACGGGTAAATACACCCCCTCATCTCCCAGGGTGTCCTTGTGTCTGCACGGGGTTGTGGCACCTGGGCACCGCTGGGGCCCTGAGCTCTCTCACTCACACTGGGGACCTGTGGGAGGTGAACACAGAAGGGATGAGCAGATCTCCACCCCAGGATGGGGTGGAGAACTTGTGTGAGGATTCCTGCAGGGCCCTGCTCACAGGCTGTGCCCCCACACAGATGGTGAGGGCGTGGGGGAGCCCCGCTTCTACCTCCTGACCAAGGACAGCACAGAGACCTTCGGCTTCTGCCTGCACGAGGAGCTGGGCTGCCAGGGCCACGTCATCCGGCAGATTGAGCTGGGGGGGGTGGCCCAGCGCAGGGGGCTGCAGGACGGGGACCGGCTGCTCCAGGTCAATGGCCACTTCGTGGACCACATGGACCACCTCAGGGTAAGCTGGGGGCATCCCATGGGAATGCCTAGATCCTCCCCAGCCAGGGGAACGGAGGATGCATGACCCCTGCTGACCCTAGGGACCCTGATCCCTCCCCATCAGAGGGGTGCCTGCCCAGGGTTCACACCCTGGGTTCTTCCAGGTGGTGCAGAAGATCAAGGCCAGCGGGAACCAGGTCCTGCTGGCGGTCCTGGACGGTGACTCCTATGAAGCAGCCAAATCCCTGGGCAGGGACCTGTCCCAGCTGCTGCCGGATGACATCCGCCCGCGCCTCTGCCACGTCACGAGGGACAAAAGCGGCTTTGGCTTCAGTGTGTCGTGTCCAGAAGGTAAAGCAGGATGCTGCCACCACGAACCACCCCATTGTAGCACCTCACTCACCCCAAAGTGCCCCTTCTGCTCCTCCTGCAGGCACCAAGGGCACTTTCCAGCTGTCGGTGCTGCAGGACGGGCCAGCGGACAGGGCAGGGGTGCCACCAGGCTGCTGGCTGCTGGAGCTGAACGGGGACAGCGTGAAGAGCTACTCCCACACACAGCTCACCAAAAAGGTGCCTGGTCCTGGCATGGGGGGCGAGGGATGGGGCTGAGAATGTCACTGAGAGCCCCGTGTTTCCCATCCAGCTTAAGCAGAGTGGCAACAAGGTGACACTGCTGGTGGCATCCAGCGCCGTGGAGGAGTTTTATCGCCTGCGGGGGCTGCGGGTCACGGCTGCCTTGGCAGACACCTCCAGGCTCCCCTTCAAGGTCCGGGAGCTGCACCTGGTGAAGGGTCCTGCTGGCTATGGCTTTCTGCTCAAGGAGGATGACTGCAGCTCGGGGGGAGTAGGTGAGGAGGCTGAGAGGGGCAGTTTGTACCTGTGCAAGGCACTTCTGAGGGTTGGGAAGAGCCCACAGCTCTGTGCCTGCAATGGGACCCTGTCCCCACCTGCACACGGGGGTCAGCAGGGCCAGTTCCCCTCTGCGAGCCTCTCCCCGCTGTGGCAGGCCAGTTCCTGTGGGATGTGGATGTGGGGCTGCCGGCCGAGCAGGCAGGGATGAGGGAAGGGGACCGTGTGCTGGCAGTGAACGGGGAGAGCATCGAGGGGCTGGACCACGAGCAGACCGTGCGCAGGATCCGCGCCCGGGAGGACCAGGTGACGCTGCTGGTCATCGACCCCGCTGGTGATGAGTTCTACCGCTCGGTAGGTTTTGGGGCCATGGTCCTGCTTTGGCTGGGCAGCCCTGGGGTGCTGTGAGGCTGCATGGTGGGATGGGTGTCCTCCACAGGGGCTGTGCGTCCATCCTTCTTCTGCTCTTCCAGATCGGGCTGTCCCCCCTGCAGTTCTTTGAGGACAGTGACCCCACC